GTATATATATATACATGTATATATATATAATATGTAAGTCTATTATATATTTTTAGTATTTCATCAAACAAGGCGATAAAGCCACTAACACGGAAGATCCGACTGAGAATGAAAGAAGACGAGAAAATGTTAGTGAGGAGAAAGAACAATAAGATTGTAAGAAAGGAAGATGGTGATTTCCAGTACATTTCAATTTTTGAAGAACGTAGTTGATATTAATTAAAAGTAGGGAGCCGGAAGAGGGACCTAGTTGCCAATCTAGTACTGCGCTTAAATTCATGAAGCCGAAGTACTAAAGAGGAAAGCTCATCAGAACAATTGCTATGAAAATATTTATACAAAAATGCACAGAAAAGCTACACTACTGAAGTGGGAATATGAATAAAGCCGATATGCTAGGTTACGGCCGATAACATTGCAGATAGTTCTTTGGATTTTGTCACGAATCTCGAAAAATATAGTATAAGCACCTGACCAAATATTTATAGAAAAAGTCGAGAGAAACTACACTATAGCAGCGGGAAAATGACTAAAGTTGAGATGCTAGATTAGGAGCAATAATATTTGCAGATTCTTTGAATTTTGCCAAGAATCTTGAGATATATAGTCAGATCAAATATGGCTTCAAATATTTATAGCAAACGCAGAGGGAATCTACACTACAACGATGGGAAAATGACTAAAGACGAGATGCTAGGTTAGGACCGATAACATTGCAGATTTTGTTAAGCATCTCGAGATATATAACAGAAGGACCAGACCAGATATTACTACAAATATTTATAACCAAAAGCACAGGGAACCTACACTACAGCGCTAGGGAAAAGACTAGAGCCGAGATGTTAGCTTAGAAACGGTAACATTTGAGATTCTTCTTTGGACTTTCTCGTTATATATAGCAGAGGCACCAGTCCAAAATGGCTACAAGTATTTATAGTAAAAGCACAGGGATGTTACACTACAGCAACGGAGGAAATGACTAAAGCCGAGATGCTAGGTTAGGATCGATATTATTGCAGATTCTTTTTTGGATTTTGTCAAGAATCTCAAGATATATACCAAAAGCACAAGATCAGATATGGCTGCAAATATGTATCGAAAAAGTATAGGGGAGTTCATTGCAGCGGTGGGAAAATAAGTAAAGTCGAGATGCGAGGTTAGGACCGATAACATTGCAGATATTATGAAGAATCTTGAGATATAGAGCAGAAGCCCCAGTCCAGTTGAAGTGGCGAATGGTAGACTTAAAAAGGTGCAAGATTGCTTTTCTTCTTTTGCTGCTTCAGTTTTATCTCCGTTTTACTTGGCGACGCCAGGTGGCAGTACTTCTATTATGATAATGGCGCTGTCTTTCAAGATGTTTACGTAGCCGATAATTGAAATGGTTGTTTGTGTCTAGAATAATAATAATTCGAAAATATATATTCAAAACTCAGGTGTTTATGGAACAGGCACAAAACTCACCTGTTTATGGAACACCTACATAACTCACCTGTTTATGGAACACCTACATGTGATGAAACTGATTAGGTTGGTTGTGATATTTAAAGTTGAATTATATGTATGTGGGCACACAGTGCGAATCAAACTCATTATTCCGTCGTAATGGTCAACCAGATTAGCTTGTTAACCATTACCCCAAGCTGAAGCGCATGTGATGAAATTCTTTTAAGGAAACCTTTGATCATATGGTGTTATATACATTTTTATACATTATGAAATGGACAAAAGTCCGACGATTATTTTTTAAGACATTTTTTTTTAATGTTAATATGTTCTTTTTATAGATACAAATATTTAAGTAAATGCTCTGTTTATAACATTTACCGGCCTGAATGTCCGAAATATAGAAAATATGCGTCCTCTGACAGGAATCGAACCTGTAACCTATACGGAACCGTCATTTAGCCTGGCGTACCTTAACCGATTGGGCCACAGAGGAGCGTTCGCAAGGTCGATTTTACTGTTTTAAACACAATTCACCATGATTTTCTCTCATTCATTCATATCTGCTCAATGCGTATCCAAATGTAAACAAATGACGTTATAGATTATGAAATGAACAAAATCCGACAATTATTTTAAGACATTTAAGATCTTTCTAACCGAAACGCCCCTTTGTGGTTCAATAAGTAAAAGCACGCCTAGCTATATGACGGTTCCGTATTGGATACAGGTTCGATTCCTGTTGGAGGACGCATATTTTCTATGAAAAATTCTCGGACATTCAGGCCGATAAATGTCATTAATACTGTTTATTATAAACAGAGCATTTAGTTAAATATTTGTATCTATAAAAAGAACGTATGAACATAAAAAGATGTCTTAGAAATAATACATTTTATCTATTTTTGTTTTTATTAATTACTAGCAGTAGAGCCCGGCGTTGCCCGGGGATGTAACAGTAAGAGATAGATCAAGTATCGACCATCATAAAGACTGAAAAATAAAATTGACAAAGATTATTGTTTAAGGTTGACGGACACGCATGTCTTAATTAGTTTTTTTTTTTTTTTTGTTTTTTTTTACGAATTGGTCAAACCCAAACTCAAACAAAAACATTGTTTTCAATCGTTATGAGTCTATCGATTGAATAGAATATTATTATAAACAATTGTCTTGTAAATGGAATTTTTAAAGCATTCTGAATGTAAAAATAAAGAAAAAGGTGTGCAAGACAATAAGAAACACTACCTGCCAAAAAAAAGTTTTGTTGAAATCAGTTGAAAAATGTAGGAAATCCGATCCCATATATAAACGAACACACACACACACACACACACACAAAACCTGGGTTTTATAAGTATAACACGATATGAGTTATTCCCCTTTCATTCTCGTGATGCCTTTTAATCGTGTTTTCAAATTGATTTCATGCGAAAACAATTGTGTTTTCCAATTTTTGGCGCTGTCAGAACCACCGCAAGGTAATTTTACGTAGTCCTGTGAAGTTTTGTTGAAATCGGTTGAAAAATATAGGAAATCAGATTCAATATATAAACGTACAGACACACACACACACACAACCTGGGTTTTATAATAAGTATGATGATCTAACAAATTTTTACTCATCGAGTAGCCTTTTTTGTAATCTTTTACAATTTTTTACACAGCTTTTACTTACCAAATACAGTAAAAAATTGTATATTTTGCTTGCGGTGATTCAAAATTAGAATTCTGGTTTGAATATACTTTTCTATTTACTGTATCTAATACAAAAATATATCAAATTTATTTGGATTTATATTTGATATAGTAAAATTTTTAAGTCAGTTTGTAAGCAAAAACCCGCGGAAATTATGTCTCTACATTTTTTAGACGGTCTTGAAATTTCCTTTGAAGATTAAGTTTACGTTCAAAATCTTAGCGTTGGAATTTAATTCCGATGATCAGTGAAAGCCTTATAACACAACCGTATAAAAATTTATAATGTATTGAAGCTTTACAAATTGTATATGGACAAGATGCATGGCACACGCACATTATTACTAAATCATTGTGTCATCAGATGAGACCGTCATTTATTTTAAAGGGAAATTATGCTGAACAATTTTGCTATATTATTATGTAATACGTTATACAGTGCAGTAGTTTTAGTGTGATTTTTAATAAACAATACAAATTTAAAACATTTTTCCTATAATTTGTGCCCAGCAGTATTATGGTGTTATATACATTTTTATCTATTATTTGTTTTTATTAATTATGACCGAACAAATTATCTAATAAATCTTATTCATTGAGTCGCCTTTTTTGTAATCTTTTACAATTTTTTACACGGTTTTTACTTCTTAAATACAATAAAAATTGTATATTTTGCTTGGGGTGAATCATACTTAGAATTCAGGTTTGAATATTGATATGTCCCGGAAAGGGATATATTTGATCGAAGTAGCTAAGCGGGTTTGGCTACTGTAACCAAGTAGTACACGATAGCAGTAATCGACTGGTACTCGTTGTAGTCGCAGGCAATAAGTGTAGACCAATAGAATAGCCAATGGCGTAGTCCAATGGGCGTCGTCATAAACTTAAACTCTGTCGTACCTACACGTCCGTCTGTAATTATGACGGATATCAGCCAATCATATTCTAGTGAGGTATGTATATTCCATTATATCAAAAATATATGAAAATGCTTTCCCAAAAGTTGTTTTAAAAATAAATTGTCTAAATTTAAAATAGTTGATAATCTAAATATCACTCTTTATTAATGATTATTGCTGAAATGTCTATCAGGCTTTTGATAAGATAGTGAAGCTCGGGCTATTGCTTTGGACATCTCGAAATCATTTTAATAGTTTGTCATACCTGTCTCTATGGTATTTCCAGACAGATTTTTGAACTGGTTCAGTTTTTCTTACCTAATTGCGAAATGAAAGTTGTCCTGAATGATCACTCTTCTAGATCATTTTGTACTAATGTAGTTGTCCCTCAGGACCTACTTCGTTCTTAATTTTCATGAATCAACCTTTCTGATGACATCAGTTCTCAACTTGGTATCAATACTGATGATACAATCATTTACTCCTGCTTCAGTAATAAGTCTGGTCGGTTCGATAAGGTCAAATTGACAGTTGATTTAAAAATAACCTACAGTTTGCCGTTTTACTGGGCAAGGAGTAGCTTGTTAATTTTAACGCAACCAAAATGAAACTTCCCTCTTTTAATCACTTGAAAGGCCTCTTCCAGCTTCTTATCAGCATGGCTGATGCTATCCTCCAGGAAAGTGACTAAATGCACCTTCTCGGTCTAACATTCTTGGCTGATATGAAATGGAGAGATAAATATTGAATCCATTGTTAGGTCTGCTGCTATATTTAGAGATTCTTGATAAATCCAAAGAAGAATCAGCAATATTATTGGTCCTGACATGGCCACTCAGCTTCAGTCACTTTCTCACCTCCGTAATGTCGCTTCTATGCGGCTTTTCTATAATTACTTTCATGGCAATTGAACTTTTTGCTATGGTACCTAGACTTTCTTATTTGTTGAATTCTCTT